CTCACACAATTCTACACTTGGGAAATGAATGCTTCTCTCTTGACATCTGACATCCTACAGTGAGAGGGTAGAAATGGAAAGATAGATGATGAGACTTTACAAAAAAAGCATAGTGGGTGCAGTGAGAGATGTGGGGAGATGGATTTTCATGCTTGGAGTGGTTGGCACAGAGGCCTACACCATCTTTGTGTACGAGGCCAAAGGGGCAAAGTAACAAAAAGACACCTCCCATGGACAAAGTGCCTTGACTGCCTGCCAGAAGAATATAAGCAGACCCTCTCCAGCTGGAACCCCAGTTTCCCTATTCCCTCTACTTTACCACAGTTTTATTCCTCAAGATAAACCTGAAGTCCAAGCTGTCAGAGATGAATTCCAAGACACAACTCTGCTCAAACGGCATTTGATAATGCCAAGCAGTCAGAGACAGTGAAGTCACCACTTCTGCAAACCAAATGAATCAGCTCTGAAACGCACCTATTCCTGCCCTGGCACGCATACCTAAAGAGGGAGAGGGCAGAAAGGAAAATGGGCAGGGAGACTATGGGATACATAGCATTTTTATTCCTTCTGTGTGTACTGTTATGTCGCTGTAGAGTACGGGATGGCTGGATGGAGTCATTTCTTATTTCTGGGTATGATAACAAAGAGAAGGCTAGCAGGGCTTTGTGAAATTCTAATTTATGAAATTTAATTTGTAAAGAACTGGTAGGTTGGCCCAATTTAAGTATATAACAGCCCCATGAACATATGCAAAGCTAATTTGGAGTTTCCTGGTGAGAAGCCCTCCTGCAGCTGGTGTGGTGAATAACTAAATATCACTTGTAATTAAGACAGCATTACTGGGAGGCAGAATGCGCCTGGAGCTTGCGCCTCCCACATTGTTTGAGGGTCGACAATGCACAAGAAATTATTCTGACTGGATTTGCCCAGAAAGTAGGACTTGAAAGTATCCCTCTCAGCCACTCCTTTAAGGCTTTTATTTGTTTAACGAACTTGTTGTTCCAAAAGAGTGCAAATATGGCCAGACTCTCAATTATCCCGGATGTCAGATCAGCAGGTACAAGCTAATGAGGTCTCGCTGTGTCGGATGAAAAGGCAGAGGGAGTCTTCTGACAGTCAGAGCCCAGCCTCTGAATCGACAAATTCAGAGCTGTGTTGATGGAAAGAACTTTGGAAGTCGAACAGATTGGGGAGTGAAACCGAACTCCCGGTGACCTTAAGAAACTGGTTTTTCCTTTACCCGGTGTTTTCTCACACCCGGAATTGGAATAAAAGTTGTTATGCAGGTTTGAAATAAGTAGCAGGAGGGTTTGTCTGTAATGAAGTGGGCATGTGCTTGCTGGTAACCAAGACTCTTCGGAAGATGACAGCTGTTTTTTCACGCTCTCACTTAAAATTTTTCACATCACAACATAAATGGCCCCGCTAAGTGCGCTCAAGCCCACTTGCCAGTTATTTACTTAGTTCTGTGTTCCAGAGAGCTACTTAATTGAGCAGTCCACTTCTTCATCCCCAAATCGTGGCTCGTGACACTTGGACCTCCTGGTGTCTGAGCATTAGATCAGCTAAAACATGGGAGCGAGAATGCTCTGCTGAACACATCCTAGTCCTCTCCCTCACTGCCCCCCGGGTTCCCTGCACTGTGACAGCTCCACACCTGGGTAAAATACATGTTTCATGAAGTCTCCTACACTGAAGAGAGGATCCGCCAAGGATGATTTTATTACTGCACAGTTACAGCAGCTTGCCAGCTGTTCCCGCTTGCCCAACACACAGAAGAGAGGAGGTAACTATATTTTCAGAGTAAAATAATATGAGCTTCTTCTGGTGAAAGTAGTGTTATATGCATGGAGTAGAGATTATTTGATGGTTTTCAGGAGCTACTACTGAAGTTCAAAACTTTTTCCCAAATAGTGAATTTGTGACTTAATAGATCATTTATAGGAAGAAAAAAATAGTAATTACATTAGAAACTTTTTTTGACCTTTTCTTAAAATTAATTTTATTGGTCCATTTTAGGTATACAATATAATGACATTCATCATGGGAAATTTGTGCCTTTACATGATATACTTGGTTCTTATTTTCTCCCCATTCCCCTGCCCTCCCTTCACCCCCTCCACCCTTCCCTATTTACAAAGACTTTATTTTCACTCTTTCCTTTTCTCATATTAATTGCATTCCCTTCTTCCCTTTCCCCGACCCCTCCCACTTCCCCTTCCCCTTTGGACCTTTTCTTTCTATTTCACATTATCTATTATACCTTTTGATCCTTATTTATACTTTCAGTTTCTCACACCAGAGAAACTCTTTGGTATTTACACACGTCTATCCTATTTATTTCACTTAAAAGTATCACCCCAATGTATATCCATTTAACTCTAAATGTCTCTAAGGTTTACCTTTTGATGTACTCCCTGGCTTTCAGTATTTCCCACCTTCTATCTGGGATAGTTTTCCTTCTACCTGAAGAGCTCTCTTTCTGTTTTAATATGAGTCTGGTGGTAATAAATTTTCTCTTTTTTTGTTTATCTGACAGAGTATTTATTTCTTCCTTACTTATGGAGGATATTTTCATTGGGTAGAAAATCTAGGTTGGTAGTTGTTTTCTTTCAGTGCTTTGAAAATGTTGCCTTGGTTTTTGGATTTCACTTTTTTAATAAAAATTCCATTACTGGCATTATTAATCCACTTTGAAATTACATTAGAATCTTTAGTGAAGAACTTCTTTCAGTTGCCTAAGTCTACTCTACACATGGCTGGATAATAGAGCTCTGAAGCCATTGAGTTTTGGATTCAAATCCCAGGTCTGACACTCACTGTGTACACATACCAGGGAAAGCTTAGGAAAGTACAGCTACCTGGAAAGCCTGAGATTTGCTCAAAAGTGGAATCGAATACATAATTCATACTCAAGAGGACTACTGGTGTGACAATTAAAGGAGGTTAAGGATTTAAGACTAAAATACAATAGAAACAAATCCTATGTCTGTATAACTTGACAGATAATAGAACTGAGAACACTGTCTTCTGGCCACTAAAAACTGCTGCCAGTCTACATGAGGCACAACAATGCACATCTGTCAAATGTGTTATGATCTCCATACAGGGACACAACTCAATGCTTCCTGCAAGCAGGCAGGGGTCACAGCCAAGCATTGCTCCCCACTCTGCTGTCACCCCATCTTTTCCCCAAGATAAGTACTCTTGGAAGACTTGAATAGCACTCCTTTTCTTTTTTTATTGGTTAGAGGAAATCTGTTTTTGTTTCCCATTAAGCTTATTGGTACAATCTAGGTATACATTATGATCACATTCATCCCTGGGAATTGGTATCTGTATGTGATACATCTAACTTCTTGTTTTGTCCCCATTCCCCTTCCTCCCCTTTCACCCCCACCCTCCCTATTTACAAAAACTTTGTTTCCAACTTTTCTTTCTCTTCTCATACTTTTTCCTTCCCTCTTTCCTTTCCCCCATCCCTTCCTAGTTCCCTTACCCTGTTTTACCTTTTCTTCCTATTTTACATTATTTATTATGTAGTTTGGTCTTTATTGACTCTTGCAGTTTCTCATACTAGAGAAACTATTTGATATTTACATGTGTCCTGTTTCTTTCACTGAAGAGTATGTCATCAATATGCATCCAATGAGCTATAAATGCTTCTAGTTTATCATTCTTTATGGCTGAATAGTACTCCATTGTATAAAAAATATATCTTGTTTAACCTTTCATCAGTTGATGGGCATTTGGGCTGTTTCCAAGATGTAGCTATTGCAAAATGTGGCACTATAGACATGGATGAGCATATATCACTGTGGTATAATTCTTTTAATTCTTTGGGGAAGATACCCAGCAGGGGAATAGCTGGGTGAAATGGGACCTCTAATCCTAGTTGTTTGAGATATCTCCATATTGATTTCCACAGTGGTTGCACCAGTCTGCACTCCTACCAACAATGAAGAAGTGTTCCTCTTTCCCCACAATCTCGCCAGCATTTGTTCTTGGTTGACTTCTTGATAGCAGCCATTCTTTCTGGGGTGAGGTGGAATCTCAGGGTTGGTTTCATCTGCATCTCTCGAATGAACAGTGATGTTGATCATTTTTTCATGTATTTATTGGATGCTTCTACTTCTTCAATGGAGAAATGTCTGTGCACTTCACATGCCCATTTTTGGATTGCATTTTTAAATTTGGCAGGTCTCAATTTTTAAATTTCTTTACACATTCTAGATAGTAGTCTTTTGTCTGAGGAACAGCTGGTAAAAATTTTTTCCCACACTGGGGGTTGTCTCTTCATGCTGTCAGTGGTTTATCTTACTGTACAGAAGCTTTTAAATGAGATCCCAGTTGTTGATTCTTTGTGCTAGTTCCTGTGCAACTAAGGATTTGTTCATGAAGTGTTCTCCTATGCCAGTGTCTTCAAGAGTTTTACCTAACCTCTCTTCCAGCAGGTTTAGCGTTTCTTTCTTTTCTTTTTTATTTATTTATTTATTTATTTATTTTGAGACAGGGTCTCACTATGTAGTTGAGACTGACCTGGAACTCACTATGTAGCCCAGGCTGGTCTCAAACTCACAATGATCCTCCTGCCTCAGCCTCCAGAGTGCTGGGATTACAGGCATGAGTCACAATGCTCGGCTAAGCTTATCATTCCTGTTTTAATGTTTAGATCTTGGATCCATTTCGATTTTAGTATAGTGACTGGGGAAAGATACAGGTCTAATTTTAGTCTTTGGCACATTGAGACCCAGTTTTTCCATCACCATTAATTAGGAGACGATCTTTCCTCCAAGGAGGGTGGTTGGCTCCTTTGTCAAAGATGAGGTTGCCGAGTGTGTCTGGAGCTGTTTCTGCATCTTCTAATGTATTCCACTGATCCTCAGTTCACTTCCTTTGCCAGTACCATGCTGTTTTTATCAGTCAGCCCCCCTTTAAAAGTAAATAAATATATTCCTTTTCAAATTGATATGTTTTTCAGCCATGTCAATTTTTCCCAGGTAGCAGGGATAAAGGGAATGTTCTTGGCTAACAAGAAGATTGACCACCAAGTGAAGACTTTCATCACTTACAACAAAGGCCGCGACTGGCGCTTGCTGCAGGCACCGGACGCAGATCTCAGAGGGGCCCCCGTGCACTGTCTGCTGGTGAGTGCTGTGTTTGTGTTGGAGCCACACGCCCCGAGTGGCGCAGGCCTGAAATGGCACTCAGCGGGAGGATGCGGATAGTTCGGGCTCTTTTGTTCAGCCCATGAGCAAAACAGGCAGGGAAGGGCATGGAGGAAGAAGGGAAGGAGAGTCCTAGGGCTGCCCTTTGCAATGGTCGGTGAAGTAAGAGAACATGGATAAGACTGTTGCTCACTCCTGGGATCCACGCGTCCAGCCTGAGTTGCTTTGCTTTGCTTTGTCTTGCTGTTAGCGCTCGAGCCCAGCATACACCCTACCACTGAGCTTCCCCTCCCGGTTCCCGTGAGAGTCTCCAGCTGTGGTGTGCTGTTGTCCCCTCAGCACTCGTCATTTCTCATGGGAATCACCTTTCGCAGACCCAAGGATCCACACATTTACTGCGCTGGAATAGAGTGTGCGCAGAAGTGTGCTGGTGTAATTCTTGCGGTGACATTTCCTCATCTTTGGAGAGAATTTTATGACTCGAAAGGGTTAAAAACCACTGATTTAAACTTAACATTTGTTTTCTTTATAATATATTCCATCCATTTGTCTTTGTCTATAAAGCTGGCATTGGCAGAAAAGATGCCCCTAGGGGAAATGATGGCCCAGCACTTGTTTTTCTAAATAAGGTCTCCCTAGAATACGGTCTGCTTACATATTCATGGATTCTTTATGCCTGTTCTCCCTCTGTAATGGCAGAACCATGGAGCCATGACAGAGACTGCAGGGTCAACAAAGCATGAGATGTTTATGCTGGGGCCCCTTAAAAAGATGTGCTGACCCCTAATTTACAGTGTGGATTTCATTTAGTTATGTTACACTGGCAAGCAAGTAGTATCAGCATCAATTTATTTATATACTGGGTGATAGGATGGTGCCCAAAAGATGGGTCTTGCTTCCAGGGGTTTGCAGTCGATTTAGCTCTTTGCATGAAGTTAAATGAAGAAGTGAAAGATTATAGAGTCAAGCACTACTTCTCTTAGTAGCTGTTGATGCCATACTTGCTGCACTGACAGATGTGAATGCAGGAGGTAGGGGAAGAAAGAGAGTCATTGAAAAAGAAAGCATTGTTCAATTAATACTGCTCATTTCTGTAGAGTTAAATTGCATTTCAGTCAAGAAAAGGGAGAGATCAGGATATAAGCATAGAGAGACGTCTACTCAGTTTTAGTAAGAAGTGCTTGGTGAGGGTATATGTGTCGTCAGCCCATCTGTCTGTCTGTCCGTCTGTCTGTCCATCTGCCCGTCCATCCGTCCACCCACCCATCTATCCATCTACTGTTCACACAACTCTGGCTTTAATGTCACCCCCACTCTGCTTGGTTCTTTCCATCCCACTAAGTCGGGACAGTCACTTTGCAGGTTCCTCTTGCAGGACGTGTGGTGTCACTCTCCTACTGGACAAGAAGCCAGCAGCCACAGCTTGACCTTATTAGTTTCAGAGGATATCACAGTTGTCACCGTGGATTAGGGAAGCAAATTTGAAATTCAGCCTCCCAGTAATCCTTACTACTGCTGACTTATAGGGCCAAAGCAGGCAGTTAGGGGGAGTGCATACAGCCATGACAGATTAAGTGAATGTAACAGCTGATATCAAATACCTGTGCTATACATAGGTGGCATGCAGTGGCACTTACAAAGAGCAAGACCCCTTCCTAGCAAAGCTATTCCGAGGTGAAGCACAGTGATATTTAGGCAGAAACCATGGGGTGTGCCTTTCCCCGCTCCATGCATAGGCTTGCATGGGACCTTTGGCACTAAAAACCGATCATTAAAAGTGACTTCTAAACAAAATACTTAGCAGAAAGTTCACTTTTCCAACCGGAACCCAAAGTCCTGAGTCAGATTTCTGTGCCTCCAGAATACAAAGGCAGTGTCAGTTTCCTTCTCTGTCCCCGCTGGGACAATCCTAATCAAGCCACAGTCATTTCCTTTAGGACCTACAGGGAGAGGCTTCTGGGAACCTACTTTCCAAGCAACAGTGAGTGTGACCTGTTTTTTAATAAATCGACTCTAGTGTGATAAAACATGGGTACATATGAGACATCCACTTACGAGTACAGTTCAGTGAATGCTGACGCTTGTATGCTCCCATGTAGCCATGACTGCAGCCAGGATAGACCATTCCGATCACCCTGGAACATTCCTGGGTGCCCTTTGTACTCAGAACGCTCTCTCCCCTCCTTAGCTAACCAAGAATACTTGGCCCCTTATTGCATAGTAGCTCTTTGTCTTTTCAAATTTTAGAAACATGTTGATATGAAGTTTTTATGGAAAAACTAGATCATATATCTCCTTTATTTCAGCTTTCTAATGGTTGTCTAGATCAGGATGAAAAAAAAACAAATACATTATCATGATCTCTGTGTGATCTATCCTCAATCTACTTCCACTTGGCCTCCAGCAGCTCCCTCCTTCCTTCATTTTACTTAAGCCAGACTTATATGTACTTCTTTATACTTAGGAGGCTAGGAGCTCTTTCTTTGTCCATCGTGTTTATTTATGCCTTGTCTTATTTGAATTGTCTGTTATTTTCTTAATAATGCCCTTGAACTCACCAGGATTTTCCTTGGCATTCGTGGCCAGACTTAACAAACAGATTTCATGAACATTCAGTAAAGATACTTTCTTCCAACCTTTTCCCTCCATGACCCTCATCCTCACCTGTTATCAGCCTCACTATTCATGGGTCTCTTGTCCCTCTTTTCCTGTCAAATATGAGTCCCATGAATGTAGAGACCTTGGCTGTCTTTGTGGCCATTCCGAAGATGAGCTCTAAGAGTCATACCTGCCACTTGGGAGATGTTCAATCCATGTGTCGTGTTTGGCACTGAATTCAAAGGTGCTACTTGAGTTTCACATTTGGACTGTAATAAAGTTATGTGTTCCTCTGATAGCTACACAGAGGAGTTTGTCATAATGTCCACCTTCTGAAGCTTGTGAGCTCAAGGGGACGCCAACATTAATAAAATCAAGAAGTTCGCAAAGATGAAGAAGAGATGATCTAGTGCAGTGGAGTTGTGCATGGACCCAGGAGTCTTTGGCTCTTCCTCCCTCATTAACCTTACAGCTTAAGTCAGTTTTTAATTCAAACTATTACAAGAGATAACAGGGTGAGGAGAGGAAGTGATGGAGGTGGGTGGGGAGGAGAAACTAATAATCACTTTTTAAAATCTGCCAAAGGTACAAAATGGGGAAGAAAATCTTTGAGCTACAGGAGACCCAGACGGTTTAAAAAAAAAAAAAAACCTCTAGGCTTGGGAGCTGGTGGCAGAGAGAAGATAAAAAGTGATTTTTAGATTGTGAGTACTTGGAAAGTGACAGTGTCCCTGAAAGCACAGTCTAGTGATTAGAAAAGAGATTTTCCAGCAGGGCTGTTACAAATGTGGAACAAGTGCAGAATTACAGCCCCAAATGGAGTGTTCCTGGTAAAATGTATTCTATAGAAATAAGACATCCAGGGTAATTTGGGGCAGTATTTTTAGGTCTTTCAGCCTGATTGCCTGAAGGGCTCAGATGGGATTTCTTTCCTCTGAAGACTGCACTGTCTACAATTAAGTAGGACGTTACAGGTCATGGTCTCCCTGCCTCCAAAGCCTCCACATCGGGCTCCCACGAGGGAAGCAGTATCTGAGCTGAGGCCATGACATATCCATGGACCCTTGGGAAAACCACAGTGTTTCATGACTTCTTTATAGATCCATTTGGCATCTTTTCCCACTGGCACTGAGCAGGCAGCTGCCTCAGGAGATCTGTGACTGTTTTCTGCCTTCCCTGCACTGCCTGTAACTCTGTGTGCTGTTCCAGACTGCAGTGGAGTCAGCGTCCCCACATCCAGCTGGCCTTTCTGAGGGCCCCCCTATTCTTTGCCAGTGACTCCACTGAACACCAGTGAGCCCCTAGCTCTAATTCAGAGTCAGAAAGTGAACAAAAGTATAGGTGTTTAGGGGAAGGAGGATGTTGGGGATACAACTTGGGAACTTACCTGCTGCTTTGCTGTTCATGAGAGTTTTGATTTGTCTTTGCAGTGCAGCATTTAGATTAATAGCCCTAGAGTAAAAGTACCAGGCAGATAGCATCCAGAGGCTGTCGACACGTAGGTTGGAGAGAAAGAAGCGGTACAGTACTTGAAATCTCTGTTTCTTAAGTTTATTTATTTCATGGAGGGTGATTTCTTCTATCATTTAATAACTCCATTGGGCCACCCACAGTACTTGAAGACAGTAGAGAATTAATGGGTCGCCGGACAGCATTATGCTAGGGGAAATGATGCAGACACAGAAAGACAAATCAACACATTCTCACTGGTGTGTGGAAGCTCAGTCAAACTCAGAGAAACAGAGAGCCCTGAGGTGCGAGTGCCCAGAAGCTGAGGATTTGGGGTGATGGGGAGATGGGTTCCAAGGCTTCAGCTGGACAGGTGGAATAAATGATAAGTGTTTTTAGTGAGAAAAAACTAATGCATCAGTAAAACCCAGCCCACATTCATGAAATACTTGTTGTGGTGAAAGGATTTGGGGGGTAAAACTAAAAGAAAAAAGAAGGCAAAGGGAAGGAAAATTAGGACCTAGAGGCCCACAAATCTGCTTCAGGGTTTTGAGAACTTCCTGATATTGAAGGAAAAGTGGGCATTTGTCCTTGTGCGTTTTTCAGAGTCCTTAATTTGCTTCAGCTTCTCGAACCTTATATCTGATGCTGGTAAGACCAAAGACTAAGGATCTAATTGGCCGCAGAATTGACTCACTGAGTATAGCCCAAGGCCTGGGACTATGTGTAAGTCCACTAAGGAAGTTTCCAAATACAAATGCTAGTCCCTCCATCCTCCCACCTCTCCAAGTCAGCAACTAGGCCATGGCAGTTTCTGCGTACATTCCTGTACCTTATGAATGTGGAAATTAAAGTGAAAAAGACAACTGCTCTTGGAACAGGCTCTGTTTTGACTCTATAGTGTTGGAGACAGCCCTGGAAATATAAAAGCAACACCTGTGACTGTTAGGTTGTGCCAGGTGCTCAGTACTTCTTTGCTAGTAAGAGAAAAGAAAGCAAGAAAGAATGCAGGTAGAAAGTTCTACAAAATGGCCCTGCCCCGGCAATATGTGCATAAGAATCCAATCCCTTTGACTTGTGTCCAGTGTGGACATAGTGCAGGTTGATAGTCAGTACAATAAATCTGTTAGTTTTTGGTGATTTCACTCTGACGGATATCTAAAGAGGGTACAGAACTTTAAGTTCATAGGGTAAGATGAGCCTGTTAGCATTGTTTTTATTCAAACATTTGGGCAGACTTTGTAAATACTTTGACAAAAGTGAAAGTGAAAATGAAATAAAGCCACAGAAATTCTCCATTTACCAGCTGGGGGCAATCCAGTACCACAAATGGGAGCGTCAACAAAAAGTACACCAAAACGATCACTTCTAATAAAGATGCTACTACATGAACTAGTGGCTTTTCTTTTCAAATTAGTAATATCTTGGCCCTCTAGAAGCCATAGCAACAGAACAGTGCTGAGACAGCCAGTGAAAAATGCCCTCCCTCCTTTGTGACAACGAGTTTTCCATGCCCCCAAACATAGCCTTTTAATTGTCACCTGAGCTTTCACTCTTGCAGCTGTGGCAAGCAGCCGGCTCAAGATTCCCAGCTGAAGCTTCTCTGTCCAGGAATGCCCTGCTCTCTCAGGTGGTACGAAGGGCCTTCACTGGGCCTGTTTGTCTAGGGATCATCTCTGAGCTGCACTTCTGGGAGTACCATGGAGATGGTCACAACCATCCTCCAACTGTATAGTTTTTAATCAACCCCTAGTGTTCCTGGTATTGTTCTGAGGAGAACAGTAACGTCTTTCATGCCCCGACACAAAGCATACCTTGATACCGCAAGCTTTTCTGGATGACCCGTTTTTAGAGCCTATTCAAGATACTGCAGAATGTGCCAAATTATACTTGGCATGTTCTCTTCATTTGTTGACTGTGTCCCTTAGGGAGATAAAATTGTGTGGCACCAGAAAAGACAGCACAGGATGGTACAAGGTCAAATACCAGTGGCAGGTCGGAGACGGAAACACCCTGATCAGTTGCAGTTGTCAGCAAAGCTTGCAGGGAGAAATGGTTTGACTCCTCTACTGTAACCTGACTTAGCGTCCCCAGCTGGTAGCAGTCCCCGCTGTGTGTGACAGTACCCCAGGATCTCTGCAACACCAAACAGAGTCTGAGCCACCCCTCCTCTGGGACCAAAGGAACCCAAGACTTTGGCTTTGGTGTTCCTTTGTAGAGGAGCTGTCTTCCTTACACTTAAAGAACATTGTAGAGTGAAAATCAGTTTTCAGTGCTTTACATAAAATTTTCACACAAAACTAATAATTTATTCCTCTTTGAGAATTTTAAATTCTGTATTGGCAGTGAATAAAAGACCCTCTTGTGACCTGCTGTTTTATTTTTGCCAGTGTTTTTGGCTGTTTTTATTCCCATGTTTCATTTTTAGCTTGTCATTTACTTTATCCAATATAAATGTAATCACTGAATCTCTGTAGCTCTCTGAGTATCTGCTGGCTGAGACTTACAGAGCAGAATAAAAGTAATAACAAAGATACATGGGTGATTCCAAAAGCTCAAATTGATAAGATTAGAAAGTAATCTTCCTGGAAAAAAAAATGTGGCTTCCAACACAGACTGTATTTTTGACAAGGCAGTATAAGGTCTGTTTTTAAATAGACTTATATAAGATATTTTATCTTTTTTTGGAAAAACGTTTGATATCTTAATCAGAGAATTTGATCAAGCTTTCAGGCACAGGTAAACAAGTTCCTTAAAGTTTCATTTAACTTTGTATTGCTACTATACTACATTTCATGTGCATGTATACCTTTTACACTGAATAAAACTGATTCTGATCATATCCCAGTAGAAACTCTGCATCACCTTTTTGGAAAGTGTCAGGACAGTTTCTCACCCCATACAGCTCTGATCTACATGTAGACCAAGATCTCAAGTGCAGTATGACTGAATGATGCCCAGGGACTTTTTCAAAGTACTCTAGACAGAGTCTTCATGCCTCATCTCTCCGCTTTAGTCTTCTATGGCTATGTACTGCACGTCTCCATTCTTTCGGCTCTTTTCTATTGTTATTGCTATTGCCCAGGTCTGAAATGTCCTTTCTCCCATTGAGCGTCTTACCTGCAGTCCGGGCCAGCATATCTTTGCCTCAGGCACCGTTTTCTCCTGGGAGCCAGCTCTGCAAGTTGGACCCCATCTCTGCACTGCAGAATCTCCTAGTATTTTGTCTACCCTTCTTGAGGCTATCACAGTTTACTGTTTTGTGGTGACTGATGGAAAGATCTCACCTCCTCTACTTTAAATGGAAACTCCGTAAAGACAGAGACCAAATTTTAGCCTTTGTTGCTCTTCCTAAGCTTCACCAAGTGTTTTACAGATAAAGTACCAAAATGTGTGTTAAATTAGCAAATAGAATTTAAGCCGGTGAGTTGAACCTAAAATGAAGGTGCTCCCTTCTGACCAACTTGGCAGGTGGCTTACACCTAGCGAAAACTACATATTGTCAAAAGATAATGGCTTGTTGGGCGATGCGTGCAATGGGTGACTAGAGGTTTTCATGCTTGGAAGGACAGATGGGGCAGTTGACACAATGCATGGACGGGTGGATGGATGCTCTGAATCTGGGCCTTAAAGAGCTTTTTAAATGACGTGCTTTTGTGACACTGACCATTGGCGTCTCCCGTTCTTAGCCCTACTGCTCACTGCACCTTCATCTGAAGGTCTCCGAGAATCCCTACACATCAGGGATCATTGCCAGCAAGGACACAGCTCCGAGCATCATAGTTGCTTCAGGTAAGAAGCTTGCCTGCCCTGCTTGCTGTTGTAAGTGGTGTTCATTTTAAGAAGCTAAATATCAATGTGTGGAATGTAATGAGCCAGCTAAAAATATTTTTGAAAAGCATCTTCACCACTGAACCTGAAGAGGATATGCTGGAAAACCCCTGCGTGGACAGAGTGCTTGCTGTTGAAATCCTTCTTGGGCAATGCCAGCTGCTGGCTTTGTCTGTTTTTAGCTTGTGCAGAAAGTTCTTTCCACTAATGGCGATATGCTCTTCCTAGGGAACATAGGTTCTGAACTGTCCGACAGTGACATCAGCATGTTTGTCTCTTCTGATGCAGGGAACACTTGGAGGCAGGTAGGAAAATGCCCTGGGTTGTGTTGGTAGAGTTTAAACGGCATAAAAGTGGTCCAGTTTAGTTCAAGTTCAGTGTTGCCCATAAATTTTAAAGCCTATGAATCTGTTTATTATTTTATGCAAGTCTGATAACTTAAAGTTTAACACATGTTTGATTTGTTGGTCCTTTAACTATGATCTCTCTTGCTGAGGACCTGTGTAAGAGCATTTAGTGGAGACTGTGAAACGAAACTAAGTCTGATGGAATTTTCCAGTAAAAGAAAGCCAAAACTCCACAGGCTACTGAGAAATGGGACACGGGGCTTGCACAGTGGACTGCATCCTAACACCAAATTGCCTCCTCCCTGCCCCGTACTTTGAAGTCAGAACACAGAGGAATGCAGTGAAATGAGAATGGCCATTATCCAGGTGGTGTTCTGAGATGCTCAGATCTTGTCTGCAGAAGGCAGAGCAATAATCATCAGGTTGCATATGTTAGATAAAGGAGAAATGGAATCACTTTAAACTAATGTGTTTAGCTTAAATGCCTCTTGTCTTGCTGCTGAATGAAAATTAGATACCCATGGCTTATAAAACAGGCCTTTAATGAGGTTTAGCAATCATAACAAGATATGAGCCTAATGCATGGTTGTTGCACTTCAATAAATATGTTTTAATAACCCACTGACATTTAATTATAGTATAATAACTAGCACCGTAAATTGAAATCTAATGCACAGGTAATCACACTTAGCAATGAAAGCACTCTGCTTTAAATTTTAGAGAGAAGCATCCATGTGATGGTCCAGTTCCCATTTCTTGTCTTCACACCCTTTGTAGAATCTCAGCAGGAGTCTTATATTTTGAGAAAAGCAAGGCAGGGAAGAAGCTTTCTGAAGAAAACGCGAGTTTCTGATCTTGGAACTAAGGCAGAAGATGTGCTATTCTAGGGTAGCTTCCTCTGGAGAAGAGAGTCAGCATTCCATTTTCTTCAAATGCATAGAAATCCCTGCTTTTGTAGTTCTGAGGTGCATCTTTTCTGTACAAAGTAAACAAAGGAAAGACAGACGATTTCTGTAGTGCGACTTCAGACAAAGCTCCACTAGCAATTTGACTGAGATGACAATGTACCTCCTACCCAGAGAGGGTGTAGGCATTTCAGTGTGTTTCCATGTGACGGCAAACTGGCTTCTCTCCGCTTCAGGAAAGACCCGGGGACGCTTGTACCCAAAATGGCACATTGTTTTGACCAGAACTATTTATGACACGTCTGGAAATTAAACAAAACAATTTTGATAAGCCTCGATGATTTGGAAATGATTAGAACAGGGAAGGGCACTGGAATGCAGCGAGTTCCAGCTCCATTTATTACTATTTGCATGCCACAAGCAAGTCACCACATCTCTCTAACACTTAGCTTCTTCATCTGGTAAAATAAAAATGTAGGACTATAATATCTAAGATTCTTTCCGTTGAGAGATGAATAATATATAACACCCAGTGCGGGGATATCACTGAATCAGGAATCCGTAGATATTATTATGAAAACAAAAAAGCTATTCAAATGGAATACATACTATTCATTTTAAGGGTGTGTTGTCCATACCTAGAATTGTTTTATGCAATACTGATGCTACATGTTTCTCGCATTGGGAGACATTGGTATGTAACTATATTTTCCCAAAATTTTAGAGAAATCTACTGCTATCCTGGAAGGGACTTTTTTTTCTTTTTATTGAGTTTATTGGTACAATCCAGGTCTACAATACAGTTACATTCATTACTGGGATCCTGTACCTTCACATGACAGTTCTTGGTTCTCATTTTTTCCCCTTGTCCCTGTCCTCCCTTCACCCCTCCTCCCCTCCCTATTTACAAACTCTCTATTTCCATTTTTTCATTTTCTCATATTTTTTCTTTTCCCTTATTTCCTTTCCCCTACCCTTCCCACTTTCCCTACACCTTTAGCCCTTTTCTTCCTATTTCACATGCTTAATTATCCCATTAGGATCTTGTGTACTATTATAGTTTTTCACACCAGAGAAACTATTCGGTATTTACACGTGTGATTTATTTATTTCACTTAAGAGTATATCCTCAATATGCATCCATTTTCCTATGAATGACTCTATTTTCTCATTCTTTATGGCTGAGTAGTATTCCATTTTATAGAAAAACCACATCTTTATCCAGTTTCCAACAGATGGGCAGATGGGCTGTTTCTAAGTTTTAGCTATTACAAACTGTGCCACTATAAACGTTGGTGCGCATATATCTCTGTGCTATAATTCTTTTAGTTCTTTTGGAAAGATACCCAGCAGAGGGATGGCTGGGTCAAATGGAACCTCTAGTCCCAGCTCTTTGAGGTATCTCCATATTGATTTCCATAGTGATTGCCCCAGTATGCACTCCCACCAACAGTGGAGAAGGGTTCCTTTCTCCCCACAACCCTGCCAACATTTGTTATTGTGTGATTTCTTGCGAGGGATGCAGATGAAAACAACACTGAGATTCCACCTCACCCCACAAAGAATGGCTGCTATCAAGAAATGGAAAGGATTTTTGTTCTTATACAAAGATCGATTGTGTGTTTTCCTTGACTGTGGGAGTGGATATATGCCCATGTTGTGCTGGTTTCCTTTGTCCAGATCTTTGAAGAAGAGCACAGTGTCTTGTATCTTGATCAAGGCGGAGTCCTGGTTGCTATGAAACACACGTCTCTCCCAATTCGACATCTTTGGTAAGGGCACCTCTGCGGGGAGCCTTCCTCCTGCTCTTCTGCACTGCCGGGGCGGCACTGGGAGCCCAGCTGTCGGACTGCGACTGGGTGGGCAGTAAACCGTCAAGCACTATGAGAACATGATTTGTACCTTTGCTCTGTTGAAATAAGATTGTCACCTGCAGATTTGTAAAAGGATGGGCAGAAAGAAAAACAAGGAGGGGAATTTCTACCCCCAAGAGAAGAATTGCATTCCAGTTTTCAGATGTGACAGTACCCCCCGAACATCATTCTCAGCACAGTCACAGTAGCACAGTTGTTCACCATCCATCATAGCTTTCGAGTAGTCTGTGTACCGTAGTCACCTGCCCCAAACAACATCTCCTGAACTTCCACGCTTTTGTTGTATTGTGCTTTCCACACTGCGACGTGAAGCTTCTCGCACTTCTGCTCCTTTCTCATTCCTGCCGTGTGGCCTTCTTCGCTTCCTTTTTCTGAGCTGGCATTCCGCAGTTCTGCCCATGTCTTCCACGGCTGGGTGTGCAAGGCCTGCCTTCCCCAGGGTTTCCAGTGGGCTTCTTCCCTGACTTTGAAGGTTCCTCTGTCCTCTTGTGCACTGGGTCAAAGTCCAAAGCCCGGTGTTCCCCGCACTCTTAATTACTTTGATAACCAAGAGCAGAGCTGCAGATGAGAAGCGGAGCCTCAGCTTGGGGAAGTGCATCTATAGAGAAAGAGCAGCTACCCATGACTATCATAGTCTGTTTCTGGCTGCTTTAAGAAAAGTGCCATAACCCGGGTACCCACAAACAACAGACTTTATTTCGCACAGTTCTGGAGGCAGGAAATCTGAGGTCAGGGCCCTGGCAGAGGCAGTGTTGGATGAGGATCCTGACTCTTCACATAGCTGCCTTCTGCCTGGGTTCCCATATGGTGGAAGGCACCAGATGGCTCTTTGAGGTGACTTTTTTTCTTTTCTTTTTTTTTTTTTTTTTTTTTTTTTTTTTTTTTTTTTTTTATTTTTTTTTTTTTTTTTTTTTGGTACTGAGGATCGAATTCAGGTCCTTGTGCTTGTTAGGCAGGTGGTGGAACCGTTGAGTTAAATCCCCAGCCCTTGAGGCCACTTTTATAAGGCACTTGTTCCTGTCCCATTCCCGGTAGCGCACTACTCTAGAAACTAATCATCTCTCAAGGAACCCACCTTCTAATATCATACTGCTGATGATTAAACTCTCAGTGAAGGAGTTTTGAGAACACAAGCATTCAGACCATAGCTGTGATCCCCCACATCTCAGAATTCTCTATGCCTGACTCTCCAGAACCCATTCTGTTTTCATCCATTTACTCAGTGAGGTCAGCTATCATTTATTATATTAGTGGGAAACAGATACCCTTAGAAGCTGTCTACTTGGAGATAGGTTCATTTTCTGTTGCTGTTGCAAGGTCATCCCTGTGCTAGACTAAGGTAAAATAAAAGCTTGCTGAAAGACAGCAGGGAGGATTTGGAGTGACCAGGGTCATGCTGATGTCTAGAAAATCATAAAATACTCAAGTTAAAACATTCTCTCAGAAACTTATTACCATCCCACTGCAGCCAGCCCGCCCACTGTTGATATTTCAACACATTTGGGTTCCAACATCGTGGCTTTCTCTCTGTCTAACTTTCAATATAATTAAGAATTTATTCACAGGAGAGACTCACTTTGACAATGCCCTAGGAACTTTTTTAAAATTTGTTTGGGGATTCAACCACACTAAGCTACGTCATCAGCCCTACTGCTTCACTATTTAGAGAGAAGGTCTTTGTGAGGGGCTGAGTTGCCTAGGCTGGGTTCAAACTTGCAGCCAGGAGTGCTGGAAGTCACTTTAGTATCCGCCCTCCAACCCCACCCCGAGTTGTCTGCATGTTTTCTTAGAAAAGACTTTTTAAATGTTGTGGAGCGAACTGTTGACTGTTTTGCTCTGACTGTAGGTTGAGTTTCGATGAAGGAAATTCCTGGAGCAAATACAGCTTCACTTCCATTCCGCTCTTTGTGGATGGGGTCCTGGGGGAGCCTGGAGAGGAAACTCTGATCATGACGTGAGTGGAAGCCACACTGTGTCCCGAGCTTCAGACAGGCAGCGAAAGACACAAAGATGTTTTGTAGCTGAGCACTGGTGTTGTTTGAGGAGTCAGTCCCTCCTACTATGCAAGTCACCAGCAAAGAGGAAAACAATGTTGGAGGCAACTTTATGGCTCTTTGAGACTGAGATTGGGAGGGGAGATAGCAAAAGGCAAAACTCTTTTCTGTCTATACTCAGTGAATCTAGAGAAATTAGAAGGAAATATTTCAATAGAAATTATAGCCATGCATTTAAAAGTGTAATACTAAGCTAGCTGGATATGATGAAAAATCTCAGGTATATTAGAATGATTTCTCTTTCAGTGAGAACTCAGCATTCGAGCAAAGCCCCACGAAGGATTTTATTTTTTCTGGCTCTTTATATAACCCAATTGTGAGGAATATTAGAAAAATCATGAGAACAGTCTGTTCTGGTGAAATTGCATTTTACACTCATTCTTGTCTGGAAAGTGATGATCATTAATTTGTGAAAGACTTGATTAATGATTCAGCTGCCTGTGGTTTCCAAACCATAGGCTTTGAATTTGAAATATGAAACCGATATTTTCTTCCCCTAGAAAATTAGTTATGGTGTAAAGAAAAGGAAGGCTTCAAAGTACTGGATCAAGTTACCAATGAAAATTTCAAAACCAAAGTGAATAATTGGAACATTTTCTACTACCTCTCTCTGCTTTTTGCAATGGTAGAAATCAACAGCAAGAAAATTTTAATTTGCCCGATAACTATGCTTTTGCAATTTATTTCATAATTCACCTCCCTTCAATTTTTATACTCACAAAATATATAAAATATACAGACAAAATTGCCGACCTAAAAGTCTCCTTCGTGGAATTTGTCACACCTTTGGCTGGTGACCCAGGCCCTGCATTAATACCTGATTCTGGGGGGAAGAGAGCAGGTGTACAGTGTAGGAGTAGTGAGTACCCCAAGCTTGCTGTCCGCTACCCTAGAGGCAGGAGGGAAGGCAAAAGTCAAGGAGGCCATGGAGCAGTTCCATTAGCAGAAAGAGTGAAAAATATAATCTTGAATCAGCTAGAATGCAGTGTCTGTGATTGTTTTTTCCTTTTTTCAAGCTTTCTTTCACTACAGTATATACAAGTAGACTCCTGGCCCAAATGCCAGTTGTTAGTACCTTGAGTTTGTTGTTTCTGCATTGACAAAACAGCCTCTGCCTCCATCTACCCATCTGTGAAATAGAGGCAGTGATAGCAGCCTCCCTGTCACTGTGTTTTGAGGTTTGAAAGGAATAGTTCGTGTGATGTGTTCAGCATCGCACCACCCTCCCTTCAAACTCTGCCAATGCAAAGTGTTGTTAAGACTGCTCTGACTGTCGGTATTGTGATGATTTTACCATGATGAACCCTACAGAGTGTTCGGGCACTTCAGCCACCGCTCCGAGTGGCAGCTGGTCAAAGTGGACTACAAGTCCATTTTCGACAGACGGTGTGCACAAGAGGACTACAGACCTTGGAAGTTACACAGCCAGGTAGGAAGGAGACCGAGTCCTGGGTGTGAGGCAGGGGAGGTGTGAAAGGAAATTTGGAACATGGAGTTCTGTTGACCAAGAATGCCCGTTTCATCCTTTCTTATGTGTTGTGTTCTACCACAGGGAACAAACTCAGCATTTCCACATTTCCATCAGATTTCTGTTTTATGATGCTAGGATATAATGAGATAAAATTCAAACATCCTTGGCTTAGACTTACAATTCAAAATGAAATATTAATGGTACTGAGAGCCAAACATAATTCACTTGTGGGTGCCATAGGATTTCACGGTGGGGCAGAGGAAGGACAACATCTTCAGTTTTATGCATCGATGGAAACAGAAGTGAGGCAAAAATGACACAGCGTGTCTAACTGGGACTGCCAGAAAAGCCCTGCCTCCCCATTTCCTGGATTCTCAGGGAGCATACAGTGCTGCTTGCCTCCTCCGAGGTGCTCAGGGTAGAAGAATCCAGAATTATTAACAGGAAACTTTCCTATGGGCTTCTTAGACATTCAGCTCATATCAGAATGCTGAGAGCGTCTCTTTTTTGATTTCCCAAGGCAGAAGTCATTCTTTAGGTCTCTCTCAGGATGTGGTAGAAGTTCTTCCCTCAGAGCCATTACCAGATTCAGGCAGTGAAACATCATGTACCCAAATACAGACTAGTGACACGCAGATCTGTAATAGATCCAGGTAAAATGAGTTTCTCGAAGAAATACAGTGCATAGCAATTGTGCCCAAAACACAACTTTGCTGTGCTCTTTCAGAAACACAAAAGGAGCCTGGATTGGACAGCAGGAGCTGCAGTAACTAGAAACCTCCCCTTTATCCCAAGTCTCAACCGTAAAATTATCACTCATTTACATTGTTTCTCTTCGCCCTGTGGGATGCATAAGCACTGTGGTATTCAGAGCTTTATTTATTTCAAGGAAAAGCACTGATTTTTTGTACTCTTGTCTGGTAGATGAATGTGTCTGAAGTCGGTGCTGTGAGTTGTGTGGGCAGAAGCATAATACATCAGGACAAAATGGATCTTTATGCTTCTTCGTAATACACTTTTTTCATGTGCTCATAAATGTCAAGGAAAAGATTCTTTTGTTACAGAAGAATTTAACTTCATCGCTCTAAGTTTGCAGGCCATGTACTTGCTATGGAGGCTATCTTACTTATCTCTGTGTCCTTTGTATCGCCAAGCATCACACTTTGCCAAAGGGAGGTTTGCTAAATACATAGGGAGATGAGGAGGCTATTAGACAACCCTCAGTGCTTCTTGGGACCATCTTTATTGTAACATTTTATAATAAACATAAAAAGTGCCATAGGACAGAGTGCGCTACCAGAGTCCGTATTACAGCGGGAGTCTGTGATTATCTCCCTGAACTGCCCTGATTGGAGCAGGGAAACTCCAAGCTGGGTGCCCAACTCTGTGTGATGCTCTGTCCTTACAGGGGGAGGCGTGCATCATGGGAGCCAAAAGGACATACAAGAAGCGGAAATCAGAGCGCAAGTGTATGCAGGGGAAATATGCAGGAGCCATGGAATCGGAACCCTGTGTCTGCACAGAGGCTGATTTTGACTGGTGAGCTTGCCCAGTTGTCCATGGAGATGTTTGGTATATCCAGTCCACGAGGTCCTTGATGAAAGAATGGATCTGAAAAGGCAGTGTCATATATGGGGCTAAGTGGAAAACCCGTGCCCGGGTATGGTTACTCGTGCTTTGCTATCTACGTGCATGTGTGTATGGCAAAACTAGAACTTTCTTTAAAGAGGGTTCAAGATGGCTGGTGATTATCTTCATGGCTGATAGTTGCGGGACAAAGAGAGAAACCCAATTCATCCCATCCGATTCAAAGAGCAACACTGAAAACAGTGAGTTGACTTTTCAGGAAGCAGACATATTTGTGATCTAGAGTCCACAGAAGATCACAGTGACCTGAGAAGGCAGTGAATTTTCTGTTCCCAAAACTCTCCAATCATTAGCCTGCAGACTGCAGTTTTTGAGAGCTATGGAAGACATTTATAAGTTCAGTGGCAGGACAGACTTAGCAGCATTATGGGTCTTTGAGTCCATGAACCTAGTGGGAGGGAAATTAGTTCAAACTGAAGAAGTACTGAGTCCCTGGAAGGCTTACAGTGAACTCAGCGTCCCATAGAGTTCTACGGACACTTGCTCTGCAGAAAGCTAATGTTCAGAGAGGATGCACTAGCATTATCTGTGGTCGGTGTGTAGTATTCAGGTGAAAATGACAAAATGTTGACGATAACTGATAGTAATTCCCCCCATAATTATTTCTATTGCATTTTCTGTTACCTTTTTAATTCATTTATATTTTAGCCTAGAGAAAACAATGACTAAATACGTATGTAAACTTTAAGCAATGGAAGCCTCCCTTGCGTGAAGCTAGACATCGCCAGCGACGTATTTCTAGCTGTGTAGCCATCACAGATCACATATCTGATCGTCAGAATATCTGTGTACATAGCATTTCACATTCTAGAAGAAGTCGCCCTTTCACGGTGGGTCACTGGCGATGCTCCCTGAGTAAACAGTGCTGTTGTGGCCTGGCATAGCAGAGAGCAGCCAGTCAGACCAGCAGTGCACGGCCGCTCCTCTCTCCCTCATGGATGAGCCCAGTCCAGAGCCCTCACCATTTCCCATTTCCCCCTGCTCTGAGCCAAAGGACAGCGGAGCCTGAGGAGTTCTTCAGGGGCCTCCCCCACTGTGACTTCTCTTTCAGTCAGGGCAGTATTACTCTACACGGTGACAGAAATACTTTATCTCTGTCCCACCCTTAGAAACTGACATGGAAATGCACTCATGGGAACATCTAGCAGGAGAGTCTCGGTCACGTATCACAAACCCCGGCCTCACTGCTTCCCACCATCCACTCTTCTCAAGGAGGATTTGCAAGGGAAGTTAGCATTTTACCCTTCTGGTTGCGCTCTGGGCTTATGAAACAGCCATTCTTTCTCATGGAGCAAATTTATTCGCTGGTAGAAACCGACGGGAATAAGTGGGGAGATATACCAATATATTGGTTTCTCCTTCAGACATTTGCTTCCTTGATGAGCTTTTTTGCAGGGCCCCAAAATAAGCCAGGTGTGATTGTTGCTGTTGTCTTCCTGTTCCAACTGTAAGCTAGTCCAGAGTAAAAGGAGCACAGGCCAAGGAAAGCAGTTAGGTCTCTGTCCTTCCCCATCCTCTACCCCTGAGTCTTGGCCTGATCCTTGAAATCATTTGCTACTGAATGTGCTGCTTATCTCACCAACTGAACTATGTTCTTACGAGTAGCAAACGGACACTATACAAGGCTATTATGAGGTTGTCTGATTGAATGGCATTTTTGCAGCCGCGTGGTTGCTGATGCCTTTGCTGGGTTCCTACCAGTAGCTGGAGTTCTGCTGATTCCACCTGACTCAGGGGAAGGAACAGTGTTGCCCCCGACTGTCGCTGTCGGCCGGCTCCCTAGACGTCCCCCGGTGCCCTTGCCTGCCCCTCCCCGGTGTTTGTAAAGTGATTCCCCAGAGTGACACCAGGTGTCCCAGAGACAGTAATGCTGAGTCTTTCTACCCATGCTGCGTGGAATGAGCACGGAAGCCAGTCGCGGTGTGCAGCAGCTGCCTGGTGACAGTTCAGGAGCTGAGCCTGTTTCTTCCTTCCCTCCTTCTGAGCCAGCACCTTACACAGATGAGCCAGTCCTCGGTAATGCATGCGGATTGCTGCCCGAGACTTGTCTGTGCTCACAGAGGGGCAATTCGCTGTGGTTCTCTGTGCCCAACTTTGTCCTCCAGAAGCCAAGAATCTCAGGCCACTCAGCACCCCGGGAGGCAAGAATAGGAGCGGCTGAGAGAGAAGTGTGACTTTTCCCATGCAGAAAGGAGGAAAAAAAGCTAGTCCCAGGGGCACACTAACTGCCTGGGGAATAATGTTTTCGTGAGAGAGTACGCAGGACTCTCCTGAAGGACGTTTGTTTTTGGCTGTGATTTTGAGGCATATGGCGCATGCACAGGGAGACCCAGCTCAGCTCTACTGGGGAGATCCAGATGTCTTGGAAGAGCACCCCAAAGACGTCCCCAGTAATGAGGACTGTGCCCCATGGGGGTGTTAGGCTGGGCCCTGAAGTGTTTGCTCCCCAAGGCTTGAGCTGACACTGCTGCCCTTTTTCCAATTGCAGTCAGCACTGTGTATCCTTCTAATGAAAGTATAATCTGCTGGAATTACTGGTTCTGTGGGGTTTTTTTCAGGGATAATTGATAGTCTGTGAAAAAGTTCCATTCTTGAGAAATTACTGATTCAGGAAATGAATTTGGTTTGAGTAGAAGCTGGCCACAGCCTAACTTGGAACTGTGCTGTGTTACTTCTCCACCTGCTGATGAGTGTGTCTTGGCTCTTTCCCCAACAGTGACTATGGCTATGAGAGGCACAGCAATGGACAGTGCCTTCCTGCCTTCTGGTTCAACCCATCCTCTCTGTCAAAGGACTGCAGCGTGGGGCAGAGCTACCTGAACAGCACTGGGTGAGTATCTGATGCAGGCACCTTGAGCGGCCAACCTTGCTGCTGTTGAGCAGGAGTTATGCTGAGAGAACAACTTCTGATTGGAGCCTGGGACTGCTTTCTCCTAGCATCGGAGCACAGGGGACTATTCATCTGATAGTGTCATACAGGTTTGCATTAGCAGAGCAGCTTGAGGTTGAGAATAGACTCCAGTTGCAAATAAAGAAGTGAGAACAGTTCCTTGGATGAAGAAATATATAGATTCTTCACTTTGTGAGATTTTGTTTCCAGAGAAACAGAGCAGTAAGGTGTAAATCTGTAGAGGTCTTTGTGAGATTTTGTTTCCAGAGAAACAGAGCAGTAAGGTGTAAATCTGTAGAGGAGGAGATGCATCATAAGGATTTGCCCCATTGATTACAAATTCCAAGATCTTCTGTGTAAGTCAGAGATGCACAAGAGATGAAGGCTTGGTTCCACTCCAAGTTGGAGACCCAGAGCCATAGCGTCTCAGACATGGTGCCTGGCCAGGAAGCTTGAGACCCACAGAAGAGTTGATGTTTCGGATGAGTCCAAAGGCAAGGAGAAGCCAGAGTCCTCACCCTAAGCCTTCAGCCATAGGGATTCTCTCTTACTCAAGGGAAGGTCACAGTGTCAGACTCTTTGTTACGTTCAGACCTGCAGCTGATTGGATGGATGAGGCTCGTCCACATAGGAGAGGGAGTCCCTTTTCCGTCAGTGTAAATATTAATGTTACCTAAAGCCACTGCACAGAAGCACTCAACTACTGTGTAACTGCCTGTTGGGGAGCCCCGGGGCCCTCACTCTCTCTCTCTCACTTTTGCAAGTGATATCAAAGAATTATACTTGTGTATTTAGTTGTGAAAAAGGCAGTTTGCTTAGCTAAGACAAAGAAGACTTCTTTTTAAACATAATACATGAATTTTATTTTTAAATATTAAAAAGATGCATGTATTTATGGATTTTGGAGATGAGTTAATAGAACATGAGTGTTTATTACACTGTTTTCTCTCATTTATCCATATTTGAAATTTGCAATATTCAGAAGTTATAGGAAAGAAAGGAAAGGAGGAAGGAGGAGAAGGAAAAGAAGGAAAGGGAAAGGGGTGGAAGAAAAGAAGGAAGGAGGGAGGGACCGAGGGAGAGAGGAGGGAAGGGAAGGGAGTCAGGTTTGAGGGAAGTAGGGGAGAAAGACAGAAGAAAGCTACCCAGTTCTGCTTGACAAAGCCTCCTGTCATCTCTCATGCCAACTGCTAGCCAGAGAACCCACTATGCATAGTGAAATCTCCATTTATATGCTCTGCTGGAAATTTTTGATTTATATGCTCTGCTGGAAATTTTTGTTTTGTTTTGTTTTGTTTTTGGTACTGGGGATTGAACTCTGGTCCTTGGGCTTGCAAGGCAGGTGGCAGAACCACTGAGCTAAATCCCCAGCCCCTCTGCTGGAAATTTTAAAATACATTTAATTTGAGAAAATTGCCAAAATAATCTATATCATTCTTTTAAATGTAGTAGAAGACAGAAATAGACTCCAAGTATCCATTTCTCTAATGTGAGGAAATCCTAAGCCTTTGAATGAAGGAACAGGCTTTGATTTATTTGAACAACATGGAATGTAAGGACAATGCCAATAATATATTTGCAGCAATGGGTCTTCAGTGTCTAGCACTATAGGAGGGAAAATGAATATAAAGAGTTAACAAAACACCCAAACTTCATGGAGGAAGATTGCCAGGGAGAAGTAATTTGATGCATTTAGAAGGATGTCTAGACATTGCAGAGGGTGCTAGAAAACCCCAGAGATAATTTAAGAATTGGTTTCCCTTTTCCTCCAACTTGAACAGTCTGGGACGTTCATTATTCTCTTTGGCATCGATGAGAAGAAGTTGAAACACAGAAGAGTCACAAGTCACAGGACTATGGCAGGATGACCCCTCTCTTCTCAGTTTACTTATAAAATCCTAATTACTACAGAATGAAAAGCAAGATGGTTAAATGTTTACCGCTTTAGATGTATTTCATTACCCATGATCTATGAAATTAAAATCACAATTTCAATGAAAATGTGACTTGGTGATCGGGGTCCAGGTATAGAAATGTTCATCAGTGCAGTGTTTAGGTGTAGCAGTCCCAGAGTCACCTGGACACTTCTGCAGCCTGACCTCACTCCCAGCCACGATTGTGTCCGAGGTGCTACAGTGCATAGCAGCATCGACCCTGAGGGGACTCTGTGTTGGTTACTGTAGACTGGCTTCATCCATTCCACTCCAACATTTTGCCCCAAAACTATCAGCAACAACATACAACAAGGTTATGTACAAAGAGCACACGATGACTCTTGGCCATCAGTAGGTTCAGTGAGTGTCCTGCACTTGTAAGAAAGAAGATCACGGCTGCAGCAGAGTCCCACAGGTGAGGCTGGGGGACGGTGACAGGGCAACCCCACTAATCAGCAAGGGATCCAAACTGCATTTGCACTAAGGACAGGAAGGCCTTTCACAGATACTGAGTGCTGAATCACCATGGAATCCCCACTCGCAGTGTCTGTAGCCAACTCTCAAGCTGCAAGAGACAAAATCTAGGTGACACCAAAAAGAGCTGTCTCCCTCTCCTAGCCTCATCCAGCTCTCTGTGTAGCTCCCAGAGATCCTCTGGCTGTGTTAATTCAGTGTTGTTCCCTCAGCAAATGTTCAGCCCTTAAAGCTGTCCACACTGCAGTGTTGCCAAGAAACACTGAGATTTTCACTGAAAATTATATATAGGTTTTACGTGTTTAAAAAAACTTTAGATTAGCAACCAATCCTGACCCCCTTTCCCATGCAACGATGATCTATTTGTTAGGCATGTTTTGAAACATTTTTCTTTGCACTTGACAGTGAATAACTCAGCCAAAAATTAAATAAGTTGGGAAGTTGTTTTTATAACTGATTTTCTACTAGATAATATTATTCTTCTGTTTTCCTTTTTTGCTCAAAAATATGTATTCAACATTTTTCCAGGTTAGAATATGCAGGGCTTCCATCTTATTTCTTTTTATTCCTTACTACCAAGTATTGTAGTATTATGTAATCATCCTTTTTTCACAGACATTTGGACTGTTTTTTTTCTGCTACTATAAACAAGGCTACAATTAACATTCTCGTGCCATATCACTTGCTATTAAAAACACACAGTGATAATCAGATTCTCTGTTGGCAGTTGGAGGTGTTTCTCTTGCTTATAAAACAAATTTCCCTCCCTCAACTGATTACTTCTCAGGCCTGGGTATCCAGTGTTCCCCAGACACAGGCTAAAACACTAGCTTCCAACTCACAGGCTGCCTGAGTCACTCGAGTCAGATTTATTTGAATCAACTGCCACCCTCTTTAAAGTATAGGAGTCAATGGATTCCTTCCGGAAGAGCTCTCGGAAGGGGAAAACGGGTTTCTTCCAAGTTAATGTGTTCAGCAAGGTCACTTCCGGCCAGAAGCACAGAACATTACCCTGCTGATGAGGCCACACTGAGTTTCTTCAAGGACAGGTCCTGACAGAAGTGCCTCCAAGCTTGTAGAGCGAAGGAATCACCTTGCGTTGGAAGAGTGTCTGCAACTCCAGTTTAACCTTCCTCGGCACCCGTGCTTAGTCTGCACATAGCCTGCATTAGCCTCAGGGCCGGGTGGAAGTAGGGTACCTCTGAGGCTGCCTGCCCCTGCCCCTGCCCTGCATTACTTCACCTGCTTCCTTCCGGCAAGCCCCAGGCAGAGCCACAGTCCCATCCCAGCAGGCAAGCAGCAGGTCCGCTGAGCAGAGGATCACCTCTCTCCCCAGTTAATGTCAGCAAGCAGATATCCAAGCCTCACCTGTCTGAGAGCAGAGTTGGAAGGAAGCAGGCAGGAGAACCAGCCACTGCTTATTTATTTTGTAATGGTTCCTTGTATAAACGGTTATGGTCACTTTGGCATTCAGCGCATTGGTGTGTGTGTGTGTGTGTGTGTGAGTGTGCATGTGTCTGGAGCCTCATTCCCCGGTCCACCCACTTCACCATGATAGATAAAAGTCCAGGACTGGTTGTTTTAGGGCTCAGTAGAAATGCGATTTGGAGAAGAGGCCTGCATTTTTACTTGCCTCACTGTTGCATGATATCTTCCTTCAGTTCCTGGCTAGGATTTGGAAGAGATGGTTGGGATCAGGGACAAATAAGTGCTGAGTGCACACTGTGTGGCGTCTGTCCGTGGTCCAGTGGCTGCAGGATGTCAACGTCCACACCTGGAGCTATGTGAACGAAGCCCCGCTTGGCTTTGCACCTTTGGCTCCCCGCCTCTTCCGCCTTTTAGCTCTCAACTTCCGCAAGTCATTTCACAACCCAGTGAAAGGCAAGGAGGCGGACGCTAGGTCGCTGTCTGCTCGGAGGAGAAAGTAAAATACGCCTGAGAGTTTTTGTTTGCGGAAAAGGAGAGTTCTTTCGGGAAGTAACAAATGAGCATTTCCAATCCATGCCCTGCCACTTATTGTTATCTTTAGCAAGTGACTTTGTCTCTTTAAGCCCCCGTTTCTTCACCTATGACATTTGCTTGTTTGCCTTCCTGGTGTGATTAAGTGTGATACTGTACAAGAAGCATGAAGCGCACTTCTTGTCCAACTCTGGATGTAATTTTCATCTAACTAGAGAGAAATAGAAAAGAGGAGGAAAAATTTCCTTTTGTTGTGACTGTGTAATCCAGATGTGCATTTGATACTTAATGACCGGACTGTTGATATCTGGGATATATTTACTGCAAGCTCCTGTTTTCTGGCCTGTGAAGCAAAAACGAGAAGCTCTATTGATGTGAAAGTCACACTATTAGCAGTGGCAGGACCTCTCTACACCCAAAGGCCTGTGTGTCCATTTAGAGCACCTAGGTCAGGAAACCCCTCCACCTGTTACAGAACAAGCTCCTGTTCCTGAAAGAAAATGCACATAACCCCAATTTGTATATTTTATTGCATGCTAATGCTGAAATAGTCCAAAATCCATTCCTCTTTAA